TTCGAGTAAATGCTCAGAAGAGAGCTTGTCGGTCTGAAGACAAGGCATGCTCTGAGCATATATGCGCTAAAGGCATCTATCTCGTGCTACTCTTCTCGCTTCATCGACCCTCTGTTGTGCAGACGAGAGAATTCCGACAATCGGAGCAGTTGAGGATTACGCTTATCAAGGCGTAAGGCAATAGATCCATTGCACGCTGTTATCAGAGGGATCAAGGGCAAAGGCCAAAGGTCACCTTGATGTCTTGTCCGGTCTTGAATCCCCTAGTCGGGTTCACCGATTGCTTTTGTCTATGACCGTTCGGCGAGCCAGTCATAATGGGAGTAGATGAAAACATTTCCAAGATTCCATCGAGAGACGAACTGGGTTCAGAGTCTTGAGTGCTAAGCGGTATAGGATAGAACCACACAAAAACATAGTCTATACTTTTTTGATGAGTAGTACCCCATAAAATGACCAGCAGCACTTGAGAACAACACATGGCACAGTACAGCAATTTGGAAAGTAAACAACGGTCTCAGGAGCATCGTTCGCCGCCAATCGAGAGTTCTCATCCGATAAACCAAGCCGAATTCCATGTACCTGGATCCTGTGTGGATATATTCGACCCAATTTTCACAGCTCCTCTGTTGGGACGTCGCCAATCTACCAGGTGGTGGAATATCACGGTGCTCCTGACGCGGCATCTGGTACAGCACGAAAGCTTTTAGACGTGATGAAGTACCACAGAGAGACACCTGTAGTAGACGGCGCGATTATGCGCCTTTCATGCATAGCGTAGTGCATAGCTAAGAACGTGTCTCGCACTGTGCTCCTTAAGATAAGAGCAGGTTTCGTCTTTGTCTTGGGAACCTGTGTTCATCAGCAGTTCGGGGGTATCGCTCACAACTAGACCGATCCTTGACAACCTTGGTACTGGAACCGAGAACATGCCCAAGAACGAGAGTACCGAGCATTCTAACTTGTGTCCGAAATTCCGAGGAGTGCCCGAATCTGATAGAGGGGATACTGGCAAATCGTTTGAGATTTTTCTCCGCCGCTTCGAGACCTACCTCGAGATAAAAGGAGTGATACCTCCTGTGAACCCCGACGATGCCGAGGCCCTACAACGCTATGAGCGCAAAAGAGTGGGCTTGCTTAAAGCCGCCCTCAAAGATCAAGCAGCGGCACTGGTCTATAGTCTTCCTCAAGAAGCCCAAGTCTGCTATGAAAAAGTCACGAAAGCTCTACGAATGGCGTACGGTCTGGACCCTCTGGAAGCCTACAATCGCTTCAAGGGTCGTAAAATGTCGGTCAATGACAATGTGGACTCTCATATCGCCCTCCTCAGACACGACCTTGCCTGTTGTCTACCCACGGCTAGTCAGGAAGCCCTGCTGAAACTTCAACTCCTAAGTGGGCTCCCTTCCGGTTCCAATGCTAAAGCTCAAGCATTGGCTAAGGAGTCCGCCACCACTACCCTAAGCCAGCTTATGGAGACGGTACGAGACCAGCTCAGGGCGTCTAGGATTGACGAAGGAAGACCGTACGCGGGCGCAATGATGGCCAACTCCTCAACTAAGGGGAAAGGCAAAGGTCGCCGAGGAAAAGGCAAAGGTCGTGCAGTGCAGCAAGGAGGCTTTCGTGACTACAGTACCATCACTTGCTTTGGTTGTGGTCAAAGAGGCCACATCCAACGCCTCTGTCCGCGGCGTCAGAGCAGGCCTGAACGAGAGATCACTCCACCGGGAAACGGGGAGGCGGTGTCTCCGCAGCAGTATGCGGCGCCGGCACCGCGCAGTCAGTTGTCGACACGGCAATGCTGCCTACAATTTTGTGTACATTAAGTCCCCGTTATAGATCGGTCATTAGAGACAAAGCTGTCGTCGATTTCTGTTGTGG